CCCTTCCCTCCCCCTTTCTTTCTTTGCTTTTTGGGGCTTTCCTGAATGTAATACTCAGGATTTCCTCTTTCTTTCTTTGGTGTGTCCCTGGACGATTGTTCGTAGCTGGGAACACCTTCCTTTCTCTCCTCTCCCTTTCTCTCCCTCTCTCTTTCTTTCCTTCCCTTTTTCCTCTTTTCCTCTCTTCACCCTTTCCTTGGGCGTCCCTGGATGCTTTCGTCATAGCTGGGAGTCCTTTTTGGTGTGTCCTTGGACGCTTGTGCCGTAGCTGGGAACACCTTTGCTTCCTTCTCTCCCTCCTTCTCTTTCCCTCCTCCCCTCCCCCCCTCTTTCCCCGCGCGTGGCGTATTTACAAGCAAACTAGGCTTTTGCAACAGGTTTCTCAATGAGGTTTGGGCTGTCATCGGTTTGTCCCTTTCATTTGGTTCCCCTTTCATCCGCCCCCACAGCCTTTTTTTCCCCTTCTTTCCTGTCCTTCTGTCTTCATGTCTCTTCATCCTCATCCTTTCTTTCTCTTGCGCGCACTATCGTCCGGACCTTAGTTTGTACACATACACGCACGCGTACTCTACTGACAGCGAGGTTCAGGTGGCCCAGGTTCGTTACAATGAGGTTTGGCTCATCGGTTGTCCCTCTTCACTTGGTTCCTTTTCATCGGCAACCACACACACCTTTGTCTGTCTTGTCCTTCTCATTTTCATCTGTCCCTTTTGCGTGCACATCCTCAAGCTGAAATAAGTGCTGAAAATGCGTCACAGCCTCGTGTTGAAATAAGTGCTCAAGGCTGAACATTCCACAGTGCAGGATTCAAGAAATATGTTAAGAATTGTTAAGATCATATATACTGTATATATATTATACTATATATATGTTTATATTATATATAAAATTATATAAATAAGTACCTTGGGGAAGGGCGAGTGAAGCGGAAAGCAATTGAGACGCGTCCGGCCCACCATGGCTCTGTGGACTTGAGACTCGAGATGCTTATGACTTCCGGCCAATGCTTCCAATGCATATATTAAATCTTATGAAGAATGTTTAACATAGCAAAACAACTGCATCGCTCGCATTGGCTCGCTTCAGCTCGCTTCATTTTGTTAGGGTGTCCTAGCCCAGAGCAATGCTTCCTACAAGCCAGCCCGTGTTATGGGTTGGGTCGGTCATGCACCATTTTGGGCCGCATGCGCGCTGACTGATTCAGTCTCACTCCCGTATGTTCGTTTATCGCCGATCTCCGCAGATTTGAGCGTGGGCCAGACCACAAGTTTGATGTTCCATCTCAGCAACTCTTTCGTCGCAGGAGTTTGGATTTTCACAACATCCGAAGACATCTTTACTGACCCGTGTCCATAGTCCCATGCTAGGCATTGTGTCCGGCCCATGTTGCGCGACTAATCACCGGGCTGGCTGAGGCTTATCGTTACAACACAACAGAAAAGGTCCTGGGAAACTTAGGTGTGTGCTGAATTCTTCGATGATGCGTGGCTTTCACTATGCTGAGATTGTCACCGAATTCTACAAGCGCTTTGACAAGACGCAGATACTTCTTGTCAAGTTCGAGGCCATGGCCAGCACCTAATAACACAGGTTTCAATGAACATTAGGACGCAGAACAACTCAGAGAGGTAGTAAAGTTTAGTAAAGTGTTGCAATTGGTCACTGTGTCTCAGCGGCTTCAGATTCATGTCAATCGCACCAAGTGTCTCTTTTCTCTACAGGACTTGGTCAAGGACACCGAGAAGACGGTGAGGCAAATCTTTGATTTCCTATGTGTGGACTCCACTGTCCCACTTCCTTCCTTGAACAAAATCCAGCCGGAGGATGTGCTGGACATTGTTCCTTGACAGTGATTGCTCACGGTGGTGTGTGATTTGATGATTTGCTTCATGACCAGCAGTGATTGCTTTTGCCGCTGTTGATTCTTTTGCCTTTGTGATGCCTCCCCATAGCTTGCCATACCCACTTTTGGACACTCTAGCCATTGCAGAATTTCTGTGCACCTTTCCACCTCGCTTTATGCTTGACGCCAAGTCCGTGTGTTCCCTCACTTCCAGATTTCAAGGCCATGGGCGAACATACTTCTACCGTCTCAGATTCTGAGAAGAAGCTGCTGCAAGAGTATTTTCATGATCGGAATCAGAAATTCTCAGAAGTGATGGGCTTGCCAATTGGAGAACTATTTTGTTGGTCAATGCCAAAGAAGTGACGTTCGAATGAACTTGCACGCGCATGTCCCTCAAAGAGCGAAGTTTGGCTGGATGTGTTTTTCCTCATTTTAGGACATTGCAGAGCATGTTGCTTCGTGGAGCGATTCTGTTTTTGCCACATATGTTTTTCTTGGCCGCAGTTGCGCAGTCCAGCAATGCTCAGAGTGATGCTCTTGAGCTTTGCCATGGTTTATCCTACTTTGTGGAGCTGATGAGGCTGAGCATATGGACTCACCAACTTCTGGGATCCACTCTTGCTCTCTCGCTCTCAGCGCTTTGCTACGCAAAGTTCCACCTTTGGCTCTGGAGGTGTGCACAAAGTTGAGCGTCGATTCTTGCGACGTCATTTTCGGGAACGGGGCGTGAAGTCAAGTTTGAATGAATGGCAAACGTGGCGCCGGGTTGTTTGGTTGGGTTTAGTTGTACACCCCGAGGAAATTGAACCACTGGTTGCTTGTGGAATCGTTGTGTTTGGTGGAAAGAACGGCTTGGGGCTGTCCCTGAAATGAAACGCTTGCCATCACTCCTTTAGATGTGCTGATTCTAGAGCGCACCGTTGAGAAGCTTGTTCGATGGTTTCCCGTCTGGGAATCCCAACCTTTTCGGGGCATCCGGCGTCCCTCGGATCAAGCTTCGTGCGAACAGAACGCCAACGACTCGCTTTGTGGAACCGTACGGAAGTGAGTTCGGGCCATTTGAGGCGTCAACGACGTCAGGTCTTCATGGTCTGGTGTCTTTCAAACGTGACCGAAGCACGTGCCCATGAGTTGTGCGCCACACTGGTTTCTGTATGTTTCTGTTTGGCCTTGTTTTCGTTCGGATTGCATTTGTATCAATTCACGGAGAGGTTGCAGAAATGTTAGCAAATGCTTAGCAAGGTTGGTTGCAGAAATGGCAGGCATTTGCATCGATGCTTCCCAGCTCGTCGAGCTAGCTGCCCGAAGCCATGCTTGTCAGCGGGCGCCCACAAATTGACGCTACAAACTTTATGGAGGAGAGCAATTTGTGAAGAATGGAGACTGTGGGCAAACATGAAACGGAATGTTTGTGGCTTGAGTGTTCGATTTGCACTTGTTTTCAGTGTGAGGATCGCTACGAGCCCTATGAGGAGGCTGCCCGATGTGTATATCGTTGGCGCTGCGAAGTGTGGAACAAGCGCATTGTACTCCTACCTTTGCCTCCACCCAGGCCACCATGACAAGCTAGGTTTGCAACTCAACACTTTAGCTTGCCACAAGACAAGCTTGCTTAGCCAGGAATTTCTCCGCCTGCGGCCAAAGAGTCTCGATTTCTGCACGGCGTTTATGGGTTGCAATTATCACGGTTTTCACCTTGGGCTTATCGTTCTTGCTTTCCAATCTCCTCGCGTTTGACGTTCGACGCTGACCCTTCCCTGTGTTTGATGCCAGAGCTCGCAGCTGCCTTTATCAAGTGGATGACGCCGAAGGTGGGCAAAGTCAATATTGATTGCGCTGGTTTGCAAAATCATCGTGACCTGTTGTTCGACAGAAAAAACTATATCATATGTTTTGCCACTGCCCACATTTAGGAAGCAAGCTCATGCTCAGATTCTGCGATCACATTCCTTACGCATGCTCATTTCTTGCACCCACTAATGCATTGTGCACAGCTCACAGCTTGTTGCAGTGCCGTTCGTGCTCACAATGTACGCTTTCCTTTGGTAGCGTCTTTGCTGCATTGGAAAAATCATTCTAACAACGACAGTGATTTTGCCTAGGCGATTAAACACACTTAGATTGTTGCTCGCAAGAGCTAGGATCAGTATGAAGTCCCCCTTGACTTGATGAACGGAAAGAAGCACAAACCGAAAGGTGGTAGAGTCAGCGAACTTGTAGATGTTTAACACAGTTTGGAAATTCATTAGCCGCTTACTGCAAAACACAGAATGGGACAGCTTGTCAACAGTTGAAAATTCAAGCAGGTACGTTCCCAAGGCGTCCCTCGGGAATATCCTGACGAATGGCTGGAGCTTCGTTGGATCAGGCCAAGCCAAACGTCCCTGATCCCCCTGCCTCTTTTTCGCGCTGTTTTTTGATTTGAATAAACTGCACGCTAATAGCGATACCAGGAGCCCTTAGTAGCGAAACCAGGGGCCCCTAGTAGCGTCCTTTGTGACTCAAAACCTGAGGCACAGGTGTGGACACACACACACACACGAAGCCGTACTCGGCGCGCTCTCCCTTGCTTGCAACTAGTAGCGAGGCCAGGGGCCCCTAGTAGCGTCCTTGCTCCCTGTAGAACGGCCAGAGAACGGCCAGAGGCCCCTGGTAGTACCGTCCTGGCTCCTAGTAGCGAGACCAAACACCCCTAGTAGCGTTGTTTGTGACGCAAAGCCTTAGGCACATGTATGGAAACATACACAAACACAAGGCCGTAATCGGTGCGCTCTTTGTACACTTCGCGCCAATATTGGCGCTGCGGAAAAAGTTTTACTGGCCACCTAAAAAGCCTTAGAAAGACAGACAAAGCAAACAGAACAAAAGCAGACTAAGAGGGCAAGAAAGAAAGATAGGTGTAGTATGGTGTAGTTACGAGGCTCACTTAGTTAAACGAAAGTAGTTCGCGAGTGGGACTTTGGTCTTATACCGCCCGGGTAGCTAGAAGTAGGACAGGAGAAACAGAAGGAAAGGCACCAACACACAAGTGTGTTGAGTGCGATTTCCTAAATAGCGGGTGGGATAGCAACGGAGGCCCAGGGGCAGGGAGGTAGGGGGAGGGTGGGTTAGGGTGGCCCGAAGGCGTTGCCATCATTGGCGTTCAAGTAAAGCCGATTTGGGCCGGCGCAACCCTTGTCTGAAAAGCGCCTGAAACCTAAAGAAAGGCCTCAAGAAAACGAAAAGCAACAGCAAGAAAGAAAAACCCAAACGGACCAAGAAAACCCACTCTCATGTCGCTCTCACTTCCGGCCTGTGAATACTTAGCAGCATGCCATGAACATGCGTGAGATTCCAAACTGGAGTTGATCTCAGTAAGCCCTGCGGCATGAAATCAGTGGTATCGTGCATTACCGCGGATCAAGGAGAATCAAGAGAAGTTCCGGACTGCAAAACGAAGCATCCAGAATGGGTCCCCCAGGATCTGGGTCTGTGCACAAGCGGCGCCCCTTGACGGGGATCACACCACAGCCCTCAGTGGGACCCTGTGGCGAAAACACGCTTTGATTGCTGCTCGCAAGAGCTAGGATCAGTCTGAAGTCCCCCTTGACTTGATGAACGGAAAGAAGCACAAACCGAAAGGTGGTAGAGTCAGCGAACTTGTAGATGTTTAACACAGTTTGGAAATTCATTAGCCGCTTACTGCAAAACACAGAATGGGACAGCTTGTCAACAGTTGAAAATTCAAGCAGGTACGTTCCCAAGGCGTCCCTCGGGAATATCCTGACGAATGGCTGGAGCTTCGTTGGATCAGGCCAAGCCAAACGTCCCTGATCCCCCTGCCTCTTTTTCGTGCTGTTTTTTTGATTTGAATAAACTGCACGCTAATAGCGATACCAGGAGCCCCTAGTAGCGAAACCAGGGGCCCCTAGTAGCGTCCTTTGTGACTCAAAACCTTAGGCAGAGGTGTGGACACACACACACACTTAGATTGACGCTCGCAAGAGCTAAATCAGTTGATGAAGTTCCACTTTACTGCAACTAGACCTTTACACGCAGTTAGACCTTGGCTGAGGGAACGGAAAGGTGAGAGAGTCTGGAAAACAGAATGGTTCAACAGCACTCATTAGCCGCTTAGTGCAAAACACCGTAGTGGACAGCTTGAAAGTTATTTACGTTTCGAATGCAGGTACGTCAGACTCTGATGTCACCAGATCAAATGGGCATCTTCGTTGGTAGCGGTCCCAAATGATTTGCCGCTACCCCCTGCTTGGAACGGTGGTGAATTATGCAATGCAGGTTCCTTAGAAACAGGTGTGGACACACACAAACACCCGGCCCACTCTCTTTTTTTCTTTTGGGGGAGGGGTGGGGGGACGGGGGAGGGAGTGCGTTGACTAAACGAGCCTGGATGTCCACGTAACAAGCCTGAGAGAGAGAACAAGACAAACGAAAAGGCAAGAAAAGAAGAGAAAGGTGCAAGGGGTGCGGGGGGTGG